TATGCAAGCAAATTGTCAGTAATTGTTCATCACACTTGTGGCAGGATGGCCATATATCTCCAGGCGGGGTTGTGTTTGCCACAGCACCAGCCCAAGAATGCGAGCTCAAATCCAGGTATAACCAAATCATGACATACCCCCATACAGTTTCACATCGTCTGATATCATGAGCATAACCTCCCATTCGAAAACGTTGTTATCAACCAAGCCGCAACTAATTCCGGGAATGTCCTTATCGGATTGCATCTGCTGCAGTTGGCGGGACAGCATGCGCCCGGCGGGAGAAGTCGCCATGCTGATAATCGGGGAAGAAAAATCAGAAAGGCGGAGGTGTAAGATTATGTCGATATCCGAAGCCGATTTCAATGTCAAGAGGAGGACAAAGAGGAGAAGGTGAGGAGAGGGTGAGGGGCGCAAAAAGAAATGAAGGCGGTAAGGCTGAAGCGGGGTTTAAATGGCTTAGATAGGGAGGCGGTATACACTGTGGGCAAGTAATTAGCTACTATACTTAGGTACCCGTACTGATTTAAGGACCTGAGGAATGTCATGATGTTTAGATCTCGTAGATCATTAGGACATTGTAAGACTATCGTATGGGGCAAACATTTCAATCTCTCCCAGTAATATAGATATAGCAAACGCATCAATTACACGGACACACATATCCTAGCATTCTTCACAATTTACCACCTGAGATTCATCGGATCTCAGTGGGCTTTTTTTTTTTTACTCCCAGCTTATTTGCATCCCAGGAGCATCAGAGTCAACGGGCTTGGCAGTTTTGAAAATCCAAAAGACCTGACCACCAAGTACCAGAGTGGCGAAGATACCAAGCGCCACCTCCATGGCAAATGTCTTACCAATAACCTTGGCAAAGCGGACACGGGCAGCCCAGTCAAAGGTAGTCCATGCATCCATGAGACCGATCTTGCCGCTACCACCGGTAATTGCAGGACTGACTTTGCCCCCGAAAGAACGATCAAACGGCACAATGGTCTCATCCTCCTCGGGAAGCATGGAGGCAGCCACACGGACAAAGATAACACGAGCAGGCATAGAGATCAAGAATGCCAGGATAGCAGGAATCACGCTGACGCCCATAAAACGGTAGATGGCCACAAGAGGCGGGACCTCGTGGTCACCGGCAACATCGAGCCAACCAGCAAAATTGGCAACGGCCATGGGGACGAAGAAAGCAGCAGCGGTGAGAACATCCTGGAGAGCAGCAGCCGGGGCAATCTTGATCCAAGTCTTATAACTGGGGATACGTTGGTAGAAGCGCTTTGGGGAGGGCTCGGAGATGACAATGTGCACCCAGGCCATCTGCCAAGTAGCCAGGAGAACGCTCAGGACAGACTGAACGATAAACTGGCCCAGATATGAAGTGGTAGGAACGGGGATGAAGGATGAAAGGAAGCCACGGGCCGCGGTGTAGGCCACGAACATGCCCATTCCACGGAAGCGAGACCAGAAGCCAGCACGGGAGCGTAGGTGCTTCACGGTAGTACGCAGCTTGCTGGTGATAGGCTTGGGAGGAGTAGTGCCAACCATCTCAGGATCTTCCTCGTCGGTTGGCTTGGCAGTATCGGGAGTGGGAGTAATGCGCACGTAGATATCGGGGTTGGTATCTTCGACTGCGGCCAGAGTGGATATCACCATTCCGTAGGTATACTCAACCTGTCGGGTGTTAGTTCCACAAGATTATATCTGGTAAATTGTATCACTTACAGCCCAGAAAGCAAGACCAATCAAGATAGCAGTGATAGCAAACAAAGCCACCAAGCCTCCATTAGGCTCCTTGTGCTCAGGCTTACCCGACTGCATGTGAGAAACAGCAAGCTCGGTGCCCCGACGCATCAGGACATTAGTGACGGACATAATGAAGCAGGCCGACACCGATGGTGAATATATATATATATATATATATTCGATGGAAAATGAGATGGAAATCTTGGAAGAAAGTTGAGATAGAGGGGAAGATGGGGGCTTTTATCTGATACAAAGCAGGCAGCAGACCACTAGCGCCGGAGTCAGCGGATACTCTTACAGTACTTAGAGTTTGCTGGTGCTCCACCTACAATTTTAGGTACCTGTCGTGTACCCCTTGATCAGCCTTCAGTTGTACGGAGTTGGAACTTGAACACTTTCCTTTCCTCTCTACTGGGACGGTCATATATGTTGTATTTATTATTTACTTTTTCAACGTTCACAAAATCACAATCAGATGATCTAAATATAGAACCCCCTTTGATCATCGGCCTCCAATTCCTCCGACCAAGCATCGCCCCCCCACGATCTGGCCCCCGGCATGTGAGCGATAAGCCCAGGCTATGGAGAGCTCTCATAGGCGAGGCTAGTTTGGCCAATCCTTCTACTCTCCCCTTAAGCCTATTCGGATATAGCGCAGGTATGGAGTCGAAAAAAGCCAAAAGAAACCCGTGTTGAGCCTCACTTATCTCAGGAAAAGTGTGTATGCTGCCTAGTTATACCCCATTAATAAAATTCCTACAAATATATGTTGGCTGATAAAATTTGCTTCATTCTAGATCTAATGTGACATGCCAACTCCCAGCAATCACGCACAAAGAAATGGTCTTCTATAGAATATCGGACATCAACCAAAGATCTAAAATGACACAAGATGTGATCAAAGTCAAATCATGGTCGCAGATAACCATCCGTGGATGGGACACAAAACGCTGCAAAAAGAGATCAATCATGGTATGTACACACACAAGCATTGTCATCAAATTTAATCAAATAACTTCTTCATGCCCTTGTGTGCCAGCTCGACGCCGAGGAAAGTGGCGGCATTGGCAGGCACCGCACGAGCAAGAGCTGGTCCAAATCCAGGGAAGAAGGCCTTGAAGCCGCCGCTAGCGTAAACTGAGCGGATAACGCCACCCATGGTAGGCCTGCCTGATGCACTCTGCAAGCGAGACTTGACGGTGTCAATGGGGAAGACAGGAATCCACATGGCGATGCCGGCAGCACCACCAGCACACACAACGGCGGATAGGGATAGCTCGCCCGTTACATTGCCTTCGGCATCCTTGGGAGTCAAGGAGCGCTTGATGTACTCGTAGGCCGCGAAGTAAGCGGCCGAGCCGGGACCATCACGCGCCAACGTCATAGCGCTACCACGGAACACGCTGCGAACACCACCTTCCTTGTACAGCTGGCGTACGACATCCATACCACCAGAGTACTTGGGCTTCTCACCCGGGGCCAGAGTCTTCTGGCCCTGGATCTGGAGGAGGACCTTGACACGCTCGAAGGGTGCCGTGATCAGGGTCATAGGGATGGCGGAGAAGAAACCCGCAGAAGAGATTTGAGCAATGGAGTACTGCGGGGTGTCGTTCTTGATTGGGACAGTAGAGAACTTATTCACGAGAGTCTTTCCCACGTCGTAACCCTAGTATTGTTAGCATCGCTTCCAACCGGGCGCTCGCAGCTGGCTCTTAGCTCCAAAGGTTCTTTTCAAAAAAAAAAAAAAAAAAAAAAAACGTACCCAAAAGCTGACGGCAACTGTGAGACAGGACTGGTTAGCTCATAACTCGACCAATTGCTCTCATGTGAGGGTCATTATAGCTGATGCTAGAGAACTTACACATGGGAGTAACTCCAACAAGCGGTGCGGAGACACCGGCATACAATCCCTACGAAACCATTGTTAGTTCGGTCGCAAAATATTCAATATGCTTGTGATAATCATACTCGAGCCAATCCTTCACGGGCAACTGTCCTCCTGACCACATCCATGGCACCTGAGTAAATGCCCTTCTCGGCCGTCTGCAGGCGCACCTTCACCAGATCAAACGGGTGTCCAACAACCACGGCGCATAGACCACCAGCGGCACCAGCTGCGAGAGAGCGCAGCTGTACAATTGTCTGATTGACAGCCTTGGTCTCGACAATCTTGATCTCTTCTTTCAGCTGCTGCGTGGTGGGGGAGGTAGAGGAGGACATTGTGAGCGAATCGGAGCGGGGAAGAGACAGGGATGGAGATGGAGGATGAGAAGAGGAAGAGGAAGAAGGAGCAGAAGATAGGAGGGTAGCCCAGAGTAAGATGTAAAGGTAATTAATAGTCCAATAAGAAAAATATGACCGAATATCTCGCAATGATGGAGACACCGACAGACCGAAACCGACTGGTCTTCCCCGGACGAAGATGTGCCTCGGCTCGGTAGCGGAAAAAAGGACTTCCCGTAATAGATCACACGTAGAAAGGAAGTCTATAGTGCTGTAGTACCAGATATTAGTAAAGACTTTTGGGATGGTTTAATTAGTTAGTGAATTTCCTATGTTATATAAGGATTGAATTATGTGTGCTCTTATAACATCGGTGACCTCCTAGTGCGTCAGTCCGGGTGAACGGGAGAGCTCAACCACTCCATGTTTCCCCCGCGGAATAAAGGATAGCCGTGTTACCACTAGGTTCTGTTACTACAACTCTCTATAGCCCTGCCTAAAATGTATAGACGCAGGGCAGATATAAAGTGCCTACATATGAGTGTCTACATTACTACTTTGTTGCATATGAGTAAGTACTTGGCAATACGGGTACCTACACCGGTCGCAGTCACATGGAAATCCACATGCTTTTTCTCTGCGGGCAGGGCTAACCATAATAAATATTAGTATTATCCATACATCCATATAGTCAAAGCTATAACTATAGCTATAGCTATAAAAAGTACTCCGTACTCAACTCAAGATCATTCAGCGATCAAAACAGAGTTGGATTTACCATTCAACTCTTCGGTGGCTGGTATCAACACCCTGAGACTATAAGATAGATGCCATGATATAAATTTCATTCATTAAGCTCGGTTGACATTAATTAACAGCTCCTCAGAGCAAAGAGAAGACAAAACATGATTGTACCCATCATGAACCCGTTCCATAGTGTACCTATACAAGCCAGACAGCGACACCAGAATCATAACCCATAATTAACATGGAGTACATGAGAGAGTGGACTCTACGCCTTCGCATGTTTACAGAGCGAGGATAGCGAGCATGCCGAGGACACCCATAGCACCACTGCCAACAGTGGCCATGGGGGCAGCGGCACCATCACTGGTGGTGGAAGAAGCAGCGCCGGCAGAGCTAGAAGCAGAGCTGTCGGAGCCGGAGCCAGAGTTGGAGCCGGAGCCAGACTCGGAGTCAGAGCCGCTGCCGGAGCTAGTGGAGGTGGAAGATGCGCCAGTGCTGGTCCTGGTCACCATGGAGCCGGAGGCGTCAGTGCTCTAGAGATATGGTCAGCGTGAGTTTCAGGAAGAAGATGGATCGTGTCTTACGGTGACGGTGGAAACGGAGCCAGTGGCGGTAGCAGTGCCGCTAACACCGGAGCCAGAGGCGCCAGTGCCAGTAGCGCTGGCGTCAGAGCCGGTGGCAGTCTTGGAGCCAGAGGCATCAGTGCCAGTAGCGCTGGCGTCAGAGCCGGTGGCAGTCTTGGAGCCAGCTGCGCCGGTGCCAGTCACGCTGGCGTCAGAGCCAGTGGCAGTGGAGTCACCGGAGCCAGAGCCCGAGGTAGAGCTGGAGTCGGAGCCGGAGGTGGAGCTAGAGCCAGATCCGGAAGAGCTGGAGCTGGCGTCAGAGCCAGCAACACCGCCTGCAATAAAATGTTAGTATACCACATCAAATATTAGAAAATGATTAATATCAGTTACATACCAGGGCACTTGGCGATGGCCATAGCGAGAACCTTCTCGGCATCGTCGCTGGGGCAGGCCTCCTTGGTGCAGTCACGGATACCGAACTTGTAGTTATCGCTCTTGCACAGGCAGGCGAGGTCACCAGCCTTGCAACCCAAGTCGGCGGCCTGCTTGCTCATGTTGGAGAGACACATAGACTATAAACACGATCAGATTAGCATTGAGCATATAACTCAATATGTAAAAATCGAACTCACAGCACACTCAGAGGCAGAAGGGTCCTCAGCGGCGACCATGCCAAAGGCGGCCATCAAGGCCAGAGCAACGGGGGAGAAAGACTTCATGGTTGGAAATTAGGGAAACGGAATTGAGGATTCTGGAGGTGAATGTTGTAAGAAAGAGGAATTTGATAACAGAGTGGAAACCGAAAGAAATTTGGAGCTGGGGATTCGTTTTATAAAGAGAGCCCTGAGAAACCAAAACAAACTCTGCATCAAAACTCACCAGCCACCTGCCCCAGACTACAAATCGAAGTCTCCATAGTGGACTAAAGAGGAAGAAAGTGGACGAAGCGAACAGCAAAGCCCAATCACCAATGCAGGTGTGGGTGGCCTCGCAGGGCCCACAGGGCCGGTTGGGATTGTTATGTTACCCAACGTGGCGATGAGAGAGAAAGAGAATCAATGGCCTGACCCATATGAAGTCATCACAATATCCAAATCCTGGATCTGCTCTCTGAAATGGGGATTGATCGGCCCGGAGTTAGCTCGCACCCCTTCTCCATGTCGATCTCATAGGTTCACCAATCACCAGGGGGCCCCATATGTGAATTGGATTTCAGATTTTTTGGCTTTTTCCATGTTTTTCCATGTCTTTTTTTTATTATTGGATCCCATTTTGCCGACGGAGTTGTCCGTTGGCTGCATTATTGGACCCCGGGAGTTAACCAAGATTGGGTATGGTTGACCATGGTTGATTATGGTTGACCAATGGTTCATCAGGTAAGGTTTTCGCTTTTCCCACGGTTTCACCAATCTGAACTCCATGTACTCCGTACCTTGGAGTTGTACCTTTTGGAGGTCCAAACAGGTGGAGATCGGCAGATCCAAATCGGGGATCAAGCCGGGATTAATCTGAAGGGTCGAATAAGTCATATCCCGATCGCACTATTGAAAGTTGAAAACTCGGTTCGATTTGAGACACCGCTAGTTGTGGCTGAACACAGCCACACTTTATCATTACTATGACTATTATTACGGAATTCGATTAGGTATTCCCCGTGGACCTTTCTATAACTAGTTAGGTTAGTTATAGTTGACTATTAGTTGACTATTATGCACTTCGAACTCCAATTCGTTAATTCAATGTTCAAAGCTTGTTTCAAGCTTTGTCAAGGGATACATACCCCTTTCCACCTGGAAAGGGATTGGTAGATTTGAGATACATAACAATTACGGGGTATTAGAATTGAAATTATCTTTGGATCTTCTCTCTTTTTTTCCTTCTTTCTTTCCTTTTTTCCCCCTCTCCAAACGATTAAAATCTTTCGCAGATCGAAATCAAACATCCACAGTGGATGCGAGATACTGCCTACTCCACATACGGATAATGCACATGATATTACGAAAAATCAAATTGATTGTGGCTATGGAGTGCTCCCTACTTCCATACGATAATATTAAATGCTGTAGGTGCACCCTACATATGATTTGACTGCAAAATTCTGATACGGGGCTTGACAGCGTCACATGAAATTGTGACCATGATGGCAAGTACCAGTCCTACTTTATAGTATCGTTCATTAATTGCACGCCTGGGTTGACATTCGATCCATACAGTCTAGACTTACGCGCCAAGCAAGTTCAGCATATGTCTACTCCGTACAACATACTCCGTACATATGTAGTAAATGCAGCTGTACGGAGACTCTGTCCACGGATACTCACCAGCACGTTCCCGTCTGAGCCTGCAACAATTGAAGCTCCTATTCGTGTAGGCGTCAACGCCACTTGACGATCTACTTGGGAACCTGCATAAGCTTACCCTTTATCCCTTGGCAACATTTAGTCGCTATTCCTGGCTTCCTATGCCCTCGTGGCTGAGGTTCTGCTAGTATACCATATGTTAACAATGGTGATCTATTGTACTCTATAAGAGACAACCGCTAAATTCCAATATGCACTAATTATATTGACGTTACATCGAGTTCAACCAGTTGACGCTACTGCCTGGACCACGGTGCTTATCTGGACTTCCCCGCTTCAAACCCTCCAACTTCAGTATTCAAAACATCCAGGGGTAGATACTTCCAATTAACACACTGCAAACCCAGTTCTTTGTCATGGTTCTCAGAAGTTCAAACTCCCCATTGACCTCGGAGCTCGATGCCTTGGTACAACAGCAAATGGACAAATGGAAAGTCCCGGGCCTATCCATGGCAGTGGTTCATGGCTCCAGCACCTGGTCAAAAGTATGGAAACATCCATGAATAAGTTGATTATTACAGATCGCTAAACCACATTTCAGGCGTATGGATTCGCCGAGTTTCCCGATCGCAAGATGACTACCGATTCTCTTTTCTCGACTTGTAGCACCACCAAAGCATTCACCGCAGCGGCCATGTCTCTCGCCATCGACGATAGCAAGAATTCCGAATCCCCCCTTCGCTGGGACACACCAATTGCCTCCATACTAAGAGATGACTTTGTGCTAGAGAACGATTACAGCACAATGCATACTACCATAGAAGATGCTCTATCCCACCGCTCAGGGTTATCAACTCACGACGCTTGTTTGAATTTAGCGCATCCTCAGAGATCCCTACGCGAAGCAGTTCGAAATTTGCGACATCTCCCCATAGCCTATGCTCCCCGCACTACCTTCTCTTACAACAACAACATGTATATGGTGGTGTCTCATGCATTGGAACAAATCGAAGGCAGACCTCTCAGCGAGACTCTCAAGAAACGCATTTGGGATCCATTGGGGATGGACGATACCTATTTCTCTGTGACAGATGTCTCGCGGGACCCATCTCTTCGTCCTCGACTCGTGCAAGGCTACACCTGGGACTCAGACACAAACACCTACATCGCAGAACCATACATGAATGATGTCGCTGTGGCTGGCGCCGGTGCGATGGTGAGCAGCGTGCTCGAGTACACCAAGTGGCTGCGCGCAATGATCTACCAAAAGGGTCCCATCTCTCCACAGGGCCGGACAGAACTCTTAAAGCCACGCACGATAATCACGAATTGGGATGAGCTCGTCGGTCCACCTCCGACTCCATATCATCTCTATGCCCTGGGTTGGTTTGTGGATAGTTACCGCGGCGAGCCTTTCTACTGGCATAGCGGGAGTTGGCCTGGATTCGGCATCATGGTGGGCTTCCTACCAAGCAAGAGCTTCGGCTTTGCTATGATGGGTAACACGACCAATGCCCGAAATGCGCAGTTGGAGATCTACATGTACCTTCTCGATCAGATTTTCGGTGGGTCGGGGATCCCGTGCTCAGGGGGCCAGGAGACAGAAGTAGAGAATAGGAAGATCGGAGCCAGGTCTGGATGTATGGAAGAAGCCATCAAACGGCTTTACCCGTCTCTGCCTGATCCTATTATTTCCCATTCTCTACCGCTAGACCAGTATGCGGGAAAATACGAGAATCCTGCGTACGGTTCCATTACTCTATCCCTCGGAAATGGGTATTTGGTTGCAGATCTACTAGACCGTGCTATACCTTCCCTTATCACTCTCGCCCATGTCAGTGGGGAGTTCTTTGTGGCGCATTACTACCAGCCCAAGAAAATTGGATCTCTCTCTGGTTACTACGCCACGGAATTCATAGTGGGTTCCAGTGGAATTGCCACAGCAATGGGCATGGATGTGGAACCCGCTTTGAACGGGGAGAAGATGTGGTTTAATCGCAAGTACTGATTGGCTTATGATTCCTCATTACTGGTTACCTAGGTAGCATATAAAATTCAATGTTTGTATGTTGTAGACGTATTATGATTTTATATCCCAACAAGTCAAGAAAAGTGGAAAAAAGTGGGCCTGAAGTCCAATTCTTTTTGAATGTACAACTTAGCAAAACCCAACATTTCAACCTCAACACCACCCTTTGTGAAACAAGAAGTACATAACTCGAAGCTTGGTACCAAACGCCATTAGACTGGATGTAGCAATGCAAAACCTATTAATACGGCTGCCTAACCATCCGTAACGCTCAACTGTCGGCGGTGCCGAACCGGCTCGGGCTGGGCCCGGTGGAGTCCGAACAAAAATTTTCATCTGGCAGACCAGGAGCAAAAAGTTGTTGACCGACGCAGGGATCGAACCTGCAATCTCTTGATTCGTAGTCAAGCGCCTTGCCATTGGGCCAGCCGGCCTTGTTGATTGTGCAAGTCAGCAAAAATGTGTATCAGGAGAGCGTGACATAAGGTATATTTCAAATGATGCTCATTTCCAGGCATATATAATAGAGTGATAGATACAGATCAGTAACAAGAGATATGGATAACAGAAAGAAAAGAAAAACAAGTGGTATGAGGGGTATGTTAACGCAAGGAAACGCCGTAAAAGAAGCCGAAAATCAGGCGCCGCCTGTATCGTTCAGACCGAGTCATACATTCGACTCGGAAACGTCTGTCACGTAAACATGCGGCATCATGAAGACCTTTTCAGAAACTGCGCCTTCTTCCACTGAGATGATCCTTGATTTGTGGCCTGGCACCTTCTGCCATCCAAGGCGCCCCGCCAGGGACATCAGCAGGCTTCCAAAGAAGAGTCCAACCAAACAGGCCAACAGCCCGACGGCAGTACCCAACAAAGCGGGAAGAATGATGGGACGGATGATGTGCATAAAGGAGTGTTTTTGGTGGGGCCGACGGTGTTCAGCGTGGTGAAGGTGAGCCGGAGTAGCCCAGAACGAGAAGAAATGAGTTTTAGATCCAGATTCGGTTGCAGTTCCAGTACTGACAGCCTTGGTAGCACAGTTTTGGGTGGAAGATTCCGTAACTGGGGCCGAATCGTGGGTTGGCGTCGTGGTCTTAGGCTTGATCCTCGGCTTATCGAAAACGGAACCGAATTGTGTTCTCCAGTAGTTCATCACCCATGACTGGCTCCTCTGGTGGGTATTATCATTCTGATCGCTGCCGCTAGCTGGTTCGACACGAATGCGGGTCATGCCGTACTTTCCACTTTGGTAGGCGAGAAGGTCGACGGCGACTGCGTCCGGTGACACCAGGTTGCCTTGCAGATCGAATAACTCGATTCGGACGCGGATCATATCCGCCTTGTGTCCTATGTCGTTTGTGGGGAGCGGTTGAGTCTCAAGAGTGTAGGATAATTCCGCGGTGTTATCACTGGGATTAATTTGGTCTGGGTACTCGTAGAGGGGCGCATTGAGCTGCATTATCCCTGATGGAGGATATAGTTGGTGTTCATTGGCGTATAGGCTTCCATTCTGAATGGATAAATCGATAGACTGTGTTATATTAGTATACTTGCGATGGAATTTGATTGAAAAAAATAATACGACTCACGAGTCTTGATCTGACGCCATTTTCAAGGTTATCAGAAGGAGGAACGAAAGGAAGTCGGAGTCGATGAGAATTCGGGATGGAGGAAGCGAAAGCACTACCTATGAGGATTGCCCACAGTAGCTGCATAGTGGGGGATCTGGATCTGGGATATGAAGGAAAGAAATAGACAAAAGATGAAGTAGACAAAGAGAGTGAGGAGGGGACAGGGGAGAGAAGAAGAAAGAAAGAGTGAGAGATGATATAACCATTTGTATATAAGACATGAGACATACGACATAAGATTCATCGTTGCCTGGAAATATACTTTAAGACAAGAAAGAGGCAGAAAAAGCTTAGCGTTCGTTTGAACCTACTATTCTTAGTATCTTTGACTCCGCATTTTCAATTATTTCTGAATCAAAAAGGTTCCAAGGAATTTCACGGGAAATGTCTCAAACATAGTCTCTCTCTCTTTCATTCTCAACCGGACCTGCAGATATGTAACCTGGAGAGGTAGATTTAATATATAGAATAGTGCTGATATTAGGCCTTGGGATCCGACTCTACATAACTAGTTAGCTTATTTAACCGTTACCATCATTACCATCTTTACCAATCCCCTAATATATGACACTAGTGACATTAACATACTAACTGGATTAGTTCTAGTGTGGAAGAGACCCTGTTTCTGGTCCCTGGCCAAACTAACTTTTTTTTTCTTGTGGGTCGAATATATTCTAATTGGCTCCGGAGATGCCCTTTCAGGCTATATAGATCGATATTATATTGACCGTTGGAGTGCCAATTAATGTAGCCGGTGATCAAGTGATCAAAAAAATGGGAGACGCAATTTATCGTCCGATAATTTAAAATGCATGCATCATTCCAAGGTTGGACCCTGAAAAGGCTTGCATAGCACTAATTATTAGCGTGGGCCAAAAGTGATGAGGATGGGAGTCTTAAAAGAGCCCCGCGGAGTAAACTCTCTGGTAGCCTGGAGATTATTTGAAGGATCCTTGAGGTAAAGAGCTCTAGCTCTTACGTCTTGGTCCTATTTTATTGTGCGACGGCGCTTTCTCCCAATCAAAATGTCCGGTGCCGGCACGGATCAAATAATACGAGCTGCATAACGTTGGATACCAAATTATGTCGGCAATTTTGTTCAAATTTCATGTCTCAGAACAAATTGATCATTTAATTTCAAGGTTGCTTCGTTCATAGTCCAATCGGCCTCAATCCAGCACATGGGGTTCATACGGAATTGGTATAAGGATAATTTGCCAATCCCCAATTAATTGTCCCAATCATTTTCGACCCTACCTCCGTGGTTATTTATTAAAAATCCTATGTACATCATTTCTATGAGACAATACATGCTCAGCTCGGTTTATAATAGGGCGCAGTCTGCCAGAACCGACAGCGTGCGTTATTGGTCGGGTCCTGCGTCGGCTGGATGGTATGATTGCCAATGTTCATGAGCTGTGCATGCTGGCCATGTTTTCTGAAGACCGGTGTCAGATGGGATTTTGGTGCGCCATGCTGAACGAAGCTAGTAAAGTAGTCCTGCATAGCCAACGCCACCGTCACATTGGCGACCCCCGAGAGCGAAGAGCTACTCCCATTGTTGTAGAAGGTGTACGAGACATCCTGTCCATGTAGCGCGGGCGGAATGCTGAACTCATATGCATAGGTCTCATTGTAGAAAGCGCGGTTGATATAATCCGTATTACACTGGAAGATAAGATCGGAGATGGCGAGCGCCGTGCGCTCGATCGAGTCGGTATACCCATAGGAGCCGTTATAAACCGGTGGGTAGAGGACATCCAAGACAAAGTCGGACACGTTTTGTGGAGTATTCGGTGACAAGGTCTTCATTTGAATTGCCAGACCGGTGCTATTGACGCTGTCTGGCGAAGTGAACGCCAACCCTTCATTCGCGTTATGGCCGACCATGATGTTCAGGTTGTGATCGAAATCGCCTGAAAGTAAAAGTTGCCCTGGCATAGCAGGCACGAAGCTGCCGTCCACAACGGGACCGTAGGTGAACTGTCCCCACTGAGACTTGGTCGCGATCTGGTACGCATTGGCGGCCATCAATTTGTCAGATGGCAATTTCCGGGCTTGTTCAATCGTGCTGACATTGAGAATCCCTAAAAACTGCTGCAGCGTGTCTTCTTGTTGCTCCTCGCCAATGACTGGTACCCAGCCCGGGCTCTGCAAGATCGCTTGTTGGAAGGGTGCAGCACCCCGTGTGCCTCCATAGGCGGTGATCTGATGAAGGATTGATCCTGCTCCAGCAGACTCCCCCATAACTGTAACTCGAGTCGCATCTCCGCCGAAAAGATGGATGTTCTTATATACCCAGTCAAGAGCAAACCGTTGATCATGGAGTGCTGCGTTGGCCGTACCATTGGCTGTGATGCTATCACCGCCAAGCCAGCCAAATGCACCCAACTTTAGAGAAATTAGTATTCTTACGGGCACCGAGCGAGGAATAAATATCGTTAGACTTACTCGGTAATTCAAGGCAACATAGACAATCCCATCATCATTTCCCAGCCTACTTCGCTGGATCAACCCAGTTGGGTCTGAGTTGCCCTTATCTCCCCCCACATACCCTCCGCCATAAATCCACACCAGCACTGGCGCCAAGTTCTTTCGGGATACTGCGGCTTTACCTTTGGTGCGTTCGAATATCTTTTGGGGGACAACGACGTCAAGGAATAGACAGTCCTCAGTGGTGCGTGGGTCTTGCTTCGCCGGCTTGTACCCATAGGAAGAGATGTTGGTGGATAGGGAGAAGGACTGGTTATAGAAGTAGCTCAAAAGGAAGGCTTGTTGGACATTGGTCGACCACAGTGGGGCTGCCTGTGGGCATATCCTACCCACAGAGCCATTCTGGATGTGTTCTCTGTTTTGTTTTGGAAGTATAGGTGCCTGGAATCGCAGGTCGCCTACTGGAGGCGCCGCATAGCGGATATTGCTGAAATTATAGAGACCATGGGAGCTCTATTTCCAAACGTCAGTAAGGAAAACCAACCCAAATAAGGCTCCACTGACATTGAATGAAATTGCTTGGTGTAGCTCATATCCCAGGTCAACAACGGGTAATTTAGAGGCCAGACACGCTGAAGCCAGCGTTAGCAGTAACACGATGACCATCTTGACCCCAGAAAAGCAAAATAAAAACGCAGGGAAGGGAAGAGAGGAACAGTGAAGCGTTCTGGGCTTATATTAGTGCTAGTCAAGAACCCCGAAGTCAGGCCGGGGTTATGAATAATAGTAAGCTATTTATTTTATCCATAGGTCCAATTGGAGTATCTGATGAGCCCAATGCACAACGAGAGACATACTAGTAGACTTCTCTGCCAATGGTAATTCAAGTCAGCGGTCAGTTCCCTTTTGCGACCCAAATGCGCGATGATGTCAAGACGAGACATTGTTTTGGGGCTCGGTGATAACACACCAATAAAAGACAAGTTTCCTCCGGAATCCGGATTTCAATCCATCAACGCTACACTAAATCCGGGGTGAGCTCCGCTACAAAGTATAGGAAATTGTTGGCGAGTACGGCCTCTGCGGGGTAGTCTGACCGCAACGTCACGTCAGACGGTGATTCCGTTAGTTATATACGATTGTTGCCTAGAACGGGCTTGTTTACTTCGTTTTGTTACTGACAAATTAATTTCTCAATTATCGACCTCGCGGATCTTATACTCAAACATCTGGTTAGAAGGCACTTCATGCTCATTCTGGAGTTTCGCGGCACTCTCGGCGCCCGCCGCTGGCACACGGTACTCGAATCGTTTCCCCTGCGCTGGCATGGATCCATCGGGCAGTGCATATGGAAACGGCAGAAATTCGGGTAACAGACCCAGCTGCATAAGTACTGTTGCTTGGTCCCACGCAATGTGTTCATGGAACAAGCGATCTCCTCGGATGTTGACGACGGATGTAAATGGAACGCGAACGTGCTTGCCCGTAGGAGGGATTCCGGGGATCCTAAAGGGTGAAAGCCGTCAGTTAATCACTCGATTCAATCACAGGAACTAAGACACCCACATCCAGTCTATCTGCTTCACATGAGTGAAAACAAATATAAACTCGTCCACAATACGGTCGGTGCCAACTGTCCGACTAATAAGCTCCAAAGCTGTGTCATCGGGGTTGTTGAAGATGAAGTGATTGAGATAAAAGTGACTCAAACGAGCTCGTCCGATGCCTCCTGTTAGAGTTGGCACATGATTCACGTAAGGCTCTGGGACCATTGTCGCCATTGTCTTTTCCACCGAGCGCGCTTCAAATTCATAATAGGTGTGCTTGTCCCAGATCTTCTCCAGGTCAAAGAATGGCCCACCCATGTGCTTTTTAATAAATCCGACACTCCGCGTATGACTTACTCCTGCTGTCGATATCTTGAAATCCGAGTGGCCGGGGATCATGAAGCTGGGAGAGGATACGTCGGAGTATATGTGTGTAGTTTGCCCTTCCTTCATCCCGCCTTCCATTGGACGAGACAGCTGGAACAGGGTTGAGTGGAAGAATGGAATGTCCCAAGAGTCGAAGAATACTGCGGCGATCAGAGCCGTGCCTTGAACTAGTGCACTTTGCAGACTGTCCTCAAATTGGGGCGCATAATCTTTCTTTGATCCATAGACTGGTTGAGGTCAGTGGATACCAGTGAAATAGTCGTGTTGACACTTTCGTACCTATCAATCCAACCTTTCCCTTCGTGTCGCACTCTAGCCTTTCTGTTAAGCCACGCTCAGCTTCTTGAAGAAGCTCTCGTAGAGATGATGTGTCAATGGCAGACTTCTCATCCACAGTAATCTGTGCCACTGTAAAACTTTCCTCTGCCCATTTTTTGAGAGGTTCTGGATCAAGCGTCTTGTTTTGCTGCTGGCATGTCGCGTACTGAAGAGGTCGTATGAGAATCAGTCCTGGACCATGTCCGCAGCGGGAAATAGGAGGCTGAATGGTTAGGTGTGGACTCAAATCCACTTGAGCGGAAGACAAACTGGACTCGGTCATTTTCATTCAAACAGAAGTTGGAAGTTGGGAGGTTGAGCAAATTCGGGTTTCCAAGTGGCCGGGCGATCGTTATATATATACCCGGGAGAGCTCTATCACCCCCACTAGTGAGAAGA